GCAGGCTTGCCACAGCCCCTTCAGTGTGGGGGTCCCACTGGGGTGCCTGGCTAGCCTGTGTGAGGGGCTGAGGGCCATTTTCAGGCTGGCCACACCCCCTTCAGGGAGGGGGGTCCTGCTGTGGTGCCTGGCCAGTCTGGTTGAGGGGTTGATGGCTGTTTGCAGGCTGGCCAAGCCCCCCTGCAGGGATCCTCACACCATGGGAGTGTGGCCAGCCTGGGTGAGGGGCTGAAGACTGTTTGCAGGCTTGCCACAGCCCCTTCAGGGTGGGGTTCCCCACTGGGGTGCCTGGCCAGCCTGGGTGAGGGTCTGAGGGCCGTTTTCAGGCTTGCCACACCCCCTTCAGGGTGGGAGGTCCCCGCTGGGGTGCCTGGCCAGCCTGGGTGAGGGGCTGATGGCTGTTTGCTGGCTGGCCAAGCCCCCCAGCAGGGACCCTCACCCCATGAGGATTTGGCCAACCTGGGTGAGGGGCTGATTGCTGTTTTCAGGCTGGTCAGGCCCCCCCGGCCACCCAAGCTCCCAGTGGAGGCTGGCTGGAAGCAGGTATCTGGGATTTATTTAGCTTCTATAATTGAAACTTTGTGCCCTTCAGCGAAGGCCATAGCCGGCCAGGGCAGGCGGGAAGCTTGGCTTCCTCCATCACTGGGGCAACCAAGCCTCCTGCTTGCTCCAGCTCCATGGCTGCCGGCCGCCATCTTGGTTGGGCTAATTTGAATATAGTCACTCTGATTGGCTGGTGGGCGTGGCTTAGGGCATAGCGGAGGTGCAGGCAATTTGCATGTTTCTCTTTTATTAGATTAGATGGTTCCAATATCCTTGAAACAAATAATTTTTGGTATTATGGCTAGCAAGATTCTCATATCACATTTTCTTTTTTTTTTTAATCCTCACCTGAGGATATTTTTCCATCGATTTTTAGAGAGTAGAAGAGAAAGGGAAAGACCAAGAGAAATATCGATGTGAGAGAAACACATTGATTGGTTGCCTCTTGCACAAACCCTGACCAGGGCTATGGCCAAGGAGGAGCCTGTAACCGAGGTGTGTGCCCTTGACCAGAATCAAACCCATGACCTTTCAGTCCACAGGCCAATGCTCTATACACTGAGCCAAACCGGATATGGTTCATATCACATGTTTTTAAGAAATAGTTGACTGGCTCCACACATTATTTACAAAGATTAAGAATGAATTTCAAATTAACATGAGCCACATACATAGTTTTCTCGCATGTGAGTGCATGGCTCTTTATGGGATGTCTTGGGATGCTAAGATCATATGTTGCTGCTATATTCAGCCTTTTGGGTGAAGCTTTATGACCCTCTCCCCATGTCCCCTCTTCAATATGGGAGAATAAATCTTTTTATGTGGAATGCATAGTTTTTATAGTATAATTTCTCATGTAGGATATATAAATTAAGAGCCACCTAACATGTCAGTGAGAGATGTTAATACTAATTCGCTTGTAAAAGTCTAATTTTTAACTATTATTTTTAGGTATTTACTACCAGGATGTACACAATTCTTCATGAGATCACCAGTCTACAACTTGAAATACTGTTCACCTGGAATGACTCGCTCCAATGTTTTGTTTACATCCAGATATGGCCATTTGTGAAACAGAAGGGAAATTTCCATGGGTTATGCATTATAGTAATTCATTGCCCCCCTAATGTAAACATGCAAAGAAAGCAACCGTTAAGTGCTGTTTTATGTATATAGGACATATATATGTGTGAAATATATGCACACATCTCTCAAATAATATATTTATTATATAAAAGAATTAGGAAACTTGGATAGAAGACTTAACCTTTCTGTAAATGTAATAAACCATGTTAATATTGTTTACACAATATGTGAATGTCTAGAATTTGCTAGGTTTATAATTAATACCTTCCTACTAGAAATGGTATTTTTGCTGCAGAGAATATGAAACAGAACTGATCTTGAAGATCTCACTACAGTGTTAAATTATTTTCTAGATAACATGTCTTTAACTTGAATAAGCTCTAGTAGTGTAATACCTTATTCTTTTACATATATAGTAGCCATATAAAATGAAGAAAAATTAGAAGCCTGGTATTGCTTTGATGATAGAATTAAGTATAAAACGGGTTTATCATGACTATAGCACACTGTAAAATACTATAAAAAATCCAACTTGATTCTTCAACATTTTGATTCCTCTATGTGGAAATTTAGCTACTTATGATAATGTAAATTTTCAGTAAGGATCTAGTGAGACCATTTAAATGAAAGACAATCCAGTGGATTAAGAAAAAACAAAACATAAACTAGCTTTTATTTTGACTTTTTATCAGGAGTTACTAGTACATAAAGGAATAGAAAATGATGATAATGACAAATATCTTTTCAGATGATTTTTCTTATACCACTCATTTTTATTTGGAACATATATCTCCAATGTGTATACACAGTCAAAAACATTTTCTTCTGTTCTTCAGCAGTAGAAGAGTTGACCTTTGAAACTCATTTCAATGTTAATGTGTCACTTATTTTATACGTCTTTCAATGTTGAGACCAAATTACATTGCAAAGTCTAATACAGTTTCACACTGCACCATAGAAAATAATCTAAAATGTTACAAATGGAGGATTTTGATTACTGGATATTAGTTGTGGTGTACCCTTAAGGATTTTTAAAAATCAAAATAAAGTATGAAGTTTCTTCTAGTTCAAAGTTATCCTACCTAATAAAGAGGTGATATGCAAATTGACCATCACTCCAACACACAAGATGGCCACCCCATGTGGTCAAAGATGGCTGGCAGGGGAGGGCAGTGTGAACAATCAGGCCAGCAAAGGAGGGCAGTTGGGAGGGACCAGGCCTGCAGGGGAGGGCAGTTGGGGGCAATCGGGCCGGCAGGAGAGCAGTTAGGCATCGATCAGGCTGGCAGGGGAGTGGTTAGGGGGTGATCAGGCTGGCAGGCAGAAGCAGTTAGGGGCAATCGGGCAGACAGGCAAGCGGTTGGGAGCCAGCAGTCCTGGATTGTGAGAAGGATATCTGACTGCCCGTTTAGGCCCGATCCCACCGGAATCGGGCCTAAACGGGCAGTCAGACATCCCTCGAGGGGTCCCAGATTGGAAAGGGTGCAGGCTGGGCTGAGGGACAAACCCCTCCCTGTGCACAAATTTTGTGCATCAGGCCTCTAGTTATGCATAAGTTTCATAGCAGCTTCCGTTTCTTGCTTAGAGTTTCAAAAACAATGAGTGAGCTTTCAGTTTTCCATGAAAATATAAACACTGTCATTGACATGGAAATCCTTAGAAATTGCAATATTCCCCTCTTAGAAGTTTGTTTAAACTTCTCCCCAAAGTTTTATTTTCTCACAGACTAATTATTTACAAAATTCATGAGTGTTTTACCTTTTTTTTATTATCCTAAAAGCTAATTCCAGTAAATCAAGAAATGGCCCAAAGCAGAAGGATAACTGAGAGAGGCAAACTAGCCTGTTTTAATTCACAAGCTGGATAATTGGCAACCCCAAGGTGTAAGTTAGATATACTTTGCTTTTAAAGCCATATTTTATGACTGGGTTAGACTAAAGTAGTCTGTTCTTGGAATTATTGCTAGCTACTTCATTGCTTATGACTACCTAACATCCATATTCCAATAGATACTTTTTCTTACTAGATGTATCCCAAAGAATAATTTTTTAATTATCTTTATGTAAAAAGAGAATAAGGATGTCAGGATGAAGGAAATTACTGTGTAACCCCAAGTGTTTATGACTCAATTTTGTAAGTTCTTAAACATGTGTTACAGATTTCTTAGAATAAATAATGCAAAAATAGGGATATTACAAAATCATTATAAGAATAATCACCAAGTAGCTGTTTTCAAGGAGTATTTTTGGTCATTTCTCTTTTAAATTCATGATGTGTCAATGAATGAGACACAATTTCAGGTGTCTGGTATATAATATCAACACAGTTTGTTGGCCACTCACTTGCATTGGTTTAAATAAAAATCGTTAATTTGCTAGAGCGAGTGCTTTGGAACTTTTGTCCTCAGTTGCACAGGAGTGCAATTTTTATTTAAGACAAAAAAAGAATGTCCAACATGGAGATGTACCCTCTCCCCCTAGGAAACACAAACACACTTAGAATTTTTAAAACTAAGAATAAATTTAATACATGAAATGATCCAACTAACTGATGAACACATTTCATTTCGATAACTACTTAAGTCCTTTTTTGAGCACTAGAATTTCATTGCCCACATTTGCCTATTTCTATTGATCTAGTTTGATATGATGAAGTTGTGAAAAAAGCCATGCACTCATTATTTATATATACCACCTGGTCTGCAGTGGTCTATGATCACTGTCCTTTTTATTCCCTTTTGCGAAACTAAGAAGATATGGTAATAAGCCACAGAAGTCTCTAGAGGCCATATAAGTGTTTTAGAGGTAAAACATATTTTATAGTGTTTATTATAATTTTTTGTTAATGGGGTTAAACATATCAGTATAAATGATAGTATGGGTCTAACGCTCTCTCCTAGGAGAGAAAAATCCAGAAGCTATTCAATTTTACCAAGAGTTTCTATTAGTGAATTTTATTTACTTATGATGAAAGCATATTGTTATTTTGTTATTAAGAAAATATCCATGATTGTTCTGTAAATCTAGGGTTGGAATGCTTTCCAGAAATGTATATGATTGGAATGATTTCCAGAATTGTATAAAAAGCAATCATTTTATTTTAAATCATTTATATTTTAAATCAGTTTTATATTCAGATTAGTTTTCATTTGTATACTCCAGCATTGTAGATTAGTTGCCATTTGCAATCTGTTGGAGGAAATCATTATGATTATTTTTACTAGTAAAACAAATTTTATTTTACTAGCATTTATTTATTTACCTTGTATGTATAAAAATGAAGTTATAACAGAATCAAATACGGTAATGGCAGCAGTAGCCTCTGATTATAACATGGCTGAATAACCCTGGTTAAAAGATGCAAAGATCTTTACACATTTTTGTAGATTTAAATACACAAGCATTTCTATTAATTCCTCTTCCCTAAAACTAAAATGAACCAAATTCAAATAACCCCAACCTTCTGTATAGCTAGATGACAGTGGGTTCCAGACATTAAGAAAAATATTTCATCCTCATTCTTTTTAATTTGAAAAGTGCATGATTATAGAATTTTGTTATCCAAATGGAAATTTCAGATGCTTTCATATAAATTAATCCAAATGTTTTCTTCTTTAGCCTGCCAAAGCCATTTTGTTTAAAAATTCTCTTGAAATCTAAACATACACATTACATGACCTTTTAAAAAGTACCAAAAATTAATAGTTGCATAAATGGTATTATTTCTAGTTTTCTATAAAGCAGTGATTCATTCAAAAGGTATATTCTTTAAAATATAATAGCAGATACTTCAAGAAGAATGACAAAATACTTTTCTGTTCTATTTCCTACTGCTGATTTACATTTTGAATGTTAGTTAATTTGATTATAAGGGTTAAACAATAAAAAGTGTGACCACAATTAATGTATTTCTGTGGCTTGAAAATTTGCTTTCCTCTTTAAATTGAGAGATTACATTTTTCAATAACTGAATTAGTTATCTACATATTTTGGGCTAATATTACTTTTGAATAGATTTAAAATTTAGAAATATATGATCAATATTTTATTCCTTACATTGTCCTCCCTCCCTTCCTCCCTCCCTCCCTCTCTCCCTTCCTTTATTTCCTTTTCTTTTTTTCTTAAACTTTAAGTTCTCTTTAAGGTTTTGAGGTATGGATAAAGTCAAGAAAAAAAAATCCTCAGTGACAATAAAAGATAATGTGTCACTGGATCTAGTTCAGTTTGCTGAGATTTTTAGGAATCAGGTTGAAGTCTCTAGGCCTAAAAAGCATTAATTGTCTGGACCTATGTGAACCAAGGTTATTAGATATAGCCTTGAAACCAAAAATTGGTATATTAAAACTTATTTCACACTTTGAGATTGCCATCGTGTGTGTGTGTGTGTGTGTGTGTGTGTGTTTGCTTTGTCATAAATGAGTATATGGCATATTGAAGGAAACTATTCAGGTAACACATTCTGCATCAACTGGGCTGTATTATCCAAGAATTGCAAAATAAAGCTTTAATTTCCCCCACCAACTAACTTCAAATCTGCTGGTAAAGTCATCATTCAATAGACCAATATTTTCTAAATTAGTAAGAAAACTTACCTTACAAAAGTAATCAGATAATGCTGATATTTCAAAGGCTAACAACGACAGGACAGTTCTTGGTCTTGAGTTGGTCAGTTCATACAGGAACTAATGCACTTTCTACAGCATCGAATATTCATAGCTTTGCTGAAGATTCTGGGCTTGAAGATTAACTTGAAAGCTATCCATTTGCTACCATGAATCATGGCTCAAATTATCCTCATGTGCTTTACTACCTGTATATAAATGCAAATGCTGTTACAGAAAATATGCTTGAAATGTCTACACAATGTGCAATTAGTGTGCTATCTGTATAGTGAACTTATTTCAATTACTCAGATATGTTACCATAATAAAAAATGTTTAACCTAAGAAAGCTATGATATGTCATCAAATGGTTATTTCTGTTTTACACACACACACACACACACACACACACACACACACACACACATACACACACACACACACACACTTTTTAGAAGTAAAAGATAGGCTCTCAATGAAGCATTCAAGATGATGGAATATATTTTCACAGTAATTTTCTTCTGCTGTACAGACAGCAATAGCACTATGGGGATAGCTTTACCTGCTATTAAAGTCAGGTCGAGTAAACAAAATTGGTATCAATTCCTTACTTTGCTGGAAGATAC